AATCCTCGGACTTACGACACAATTGGTTCCTGAAAACCATGTCTTACGTTGAAACGTTGTAACTCAGAACCAATTTTCTCATAAAAAACTGTTATAAGTGGGGGATTGGTTCCTGAACCAAGGGTCGATACCTTATTTTTACCAAAAATACCCCAGAATTTTGTACTCAATCAATTATAGATGAGTAATATAGCTACATTAATGTTGTTATATTGTAAATAGCAATCATATTGATTTGGAAGGACTTCTTTGAGGTGACTTTGCTGAACTTTTTGAAAGGCTCTTAGTTGGACTTTTTGAAGGGTTCTTGGCTGGAGTCTTCTCAGGAGTCTTGGCTGCAGGATTTTCTGGAGTCTTGTCTGCTTTTTTAAAGAAAGTGTCCAAGGAAGGTTGGACAGATGTTCTCCAGGGAGATGGGCGACGCAGCGAACTTGTTCACTGGCATGGCGTCGCATCGGATCAAGCATTGTAAAGTTGAAACTGACATCATAAAGTTGAAACAGGGTGTCAATTTATAAATGTTGTAAGTGCAAAACATTGTAACTTGAAACATTGTAAGTCAAGGACTGCCTGTATTCTATATATATAAAGGACTTAATCCGTCTGTCTGTATGTCTGTCCACTCTTGGGGGGCGTGGCTCCAGCCAGTGCTGTGTCAAGAACGACAGACGGGGCATGGCTCCAGTGGAGCAGGCCAGGCGGACACAGAGTTGGGGGGGGTGCACGGCTGGATGCAGAGCGGTGGCAGCACAGGGTAGTGCCTGGTGGTGACAGCTGCTGTAAGCAAGTTTCCCCACTCCTGGGAGGCGGCAGCGGTGGCGCGGGGTGGTGAGTGGTGGCACTCCATCCCTGTGTGCCCACCCCTCCACCCCCGTCATTCTTTATGGGCAATTTGCTAGTATCAGTATAAACTGGATGCTGATGGCTGGATCCCTTAGCATCTTCAGATGGGTATACTTTGAGCCAGGCCACTGATTTAAGGGCAATATAACTTTTGCCACACAGAGGAACTCAGCTTACATACTAGCCCTGGGCTCTGCCAAGCTCTGAGCAGTGAAAAGGAATCACTGGCATCATTCTCTGAGCTCATGCTCAAGAACAGCTCTGAGAGCTTTCTAGGGAAGCAATGCCCAGCCCTCTTTTGCAAGAAAGGCTGCCCACTTGAAGACGTGGATAGGAAAATAAAATCCCAAAGGTAATGGCATCTGCCAAATAAACCATAAAGAAGTAACCACTGACTTCTGAGTTACCCATATATCTACTGCAGCTGACTGATCATGTTAAAATCAGAATGAGACCAGGCATAGTTTCTGCTCTGTAGAACCACAGTACCACACTCTGCCATCCAAATTCTTATTCTCTTAGTGTTCATCCACAACACGTTTCAGCACTTGGCTGTTAGAGTGGATCTCAGTCAGACTCCTTAAAACATAATTCTTCAGTTTCTATTTCTAGTTCGCCAAATAAACTCATGCATAAAAAATATCATCTCTTGCATTGGCCAAGAGAGAGACTATTGATTGAGGGCATTCTTTTATCATCCTGGGAGACCTGGAATCAAAGACAAGTTTGGTGATCCTCAGTGAATCCTTTGAGAAAAATCAATCCATGTGACACAGACACCACCCAGTTTTGGATGTATTAACAACCACTGCTCAAGAGAAGCTCACAACTTCACAGGCTTGAACCCAAATGTATTAGCAAAGTAGTTCTCAACCTCTTTAGACTCAAGGCACCCCTCATTAGACTCAACACATGCCTCAGAAAATGCCGGCTCTTAGTTTTCACTCATTTTTTTACTAGAAAAGAAAAAGAGCAATTTCTCTGTTACAAAGAATTCAGAAAGAACAGAACAGTCAGAACTCTTTTAACACTATGGCTTCCTATTTGATATGTCTGACATAGCATGGCACTCATGACACCCTTGAAAGAATCTCAAGGGACACCAGGGTGCTGTCGCATCCTGGCTGAGAATCACTGTATTAGCAGAACTCAAGAGACCTGTAACGGCAACAGCAGGGGATGCTGTAGATACAGGGTGGGATATGCTAGCACAGATTGAGGAAATAGGTTGGGTACTGGCATTAGTATCATGTGTTGAAGGTCAAGACTGAGGAGAGGGGGCAGACTGGGAGGTGACCCAGGACTGAAATAGCTAGAGGGCTGCAGGGCAGGACTGAGGGACACTGGGAACAGCCATGTGAGGAGCCCAAAAGTAGAAGGGCTCCTATTCACATGCAGGGAGGCTGCTCCAACATGCTGCAATTACAGCGTGTCGGAGCAGACTCAATTAAAATTGTGTCTGCTGGAGCGTGGTAATTACCGCACTCCAGCAGAGTCCAGCATCACATGTATCAGTGTCTCCATGCTGACAAATGGTGGTGGGGCACTATAAACTAAAGCTTGTTTGATGAGCTTTAGTTCAAAGCACCCTGACACCATTTTTCAGTGCGGGGACACTGATACACGTGACACTCTGGGCACTTTTAATTAGCACAGCTCTTGGAGCTGCACTAATTAAAGTATTTCCCACCCCCATCTCTAAACACCCAAGGATAACAGTATTGCAGGGACTGCAGATCAGCTGCATACAGGGTACTTCATTCTAGCTATTATAGCCATGAACAACAACAAAAAAGCTGACCAACAATTTTACAAAACACACACATGAATGTATTAAAGCACAGGAGGATAATATGACCTGGTAAAAAATAATACATATTCACTGGCATTGAAGCCCTCTGCAATTAATGGAGGGATGGACAAGAGTCTCAGTGCAGTGCAATTCAACTGTAAATTTAGAAGAGTGAACTTTTGAACAATTTAAACATAGTAAATGGATCAAATTCCTGCCATAGACCACTTTGAAAACTGTTCTTTTGTATTTGGCACTTCTCTAACATCCCTCAAATACACCCAGGTTCCATTTGATGTAGCCAGGTGCAAACAAAGAGCGCTTCAGAACATTCGACAGAGATACCATGAAGAATACAGTAATACAGTGTTGTAGGAAGGAGAAAGACAAACTACGTGGGATTAGTCAAGGAAGAAAAGAGAACCCTCTTTAAGGAAAGAGTTTAGGTATGAGGGAGAGCTGATGAGATGCAGAGAAACACAGAAGATGATAGCAGCTGCAGAGTAAATCCAGAGAGACTGGAAAGAGAGAATGAGAGAGCTAGATAGAGAGTGAGGGAGAGAGAAAGAGACAGTCTAGTGGGAAAGGAGAAGAGGCATAAGAGATGTGAGCCAAAAAGGAAGAACTGAAGGAGGATGACATAGGTTCATGAAAGGACAATATAAAAATGGGTATTAGGAAATTGAAGAAAATGCTGAGGGGGGTACTGAAAGGATGTGGCACTGATTTAAAAACTGGGGAGAACCTAGGAATGTGTTTCTTGGGAAAGAGCTAAGATAGAGACATTGCAGAGGGAGATGTCTGGAGAAAGACCAAAGGACCGATCACATGGAAAAAGAGCAAGTACAATGTTCTAAAACTAATGGCAATGTTTTACATAGGAAACTACTTCCAAGGATAATGAGTAATGCAGCATTGGTATGAACAGCCAGCCTGGCACAAAGGTTGAATCTTAAAAGAGGGCTGCAGAAATAGGTTAGGTATGTTTTTGGTAGGGTCAGCGAGTGAAAACTTAAGAGGGATGCAGGAGATTGGTTCAGACACTCTTGTGGGACAACTTTCAGCCTTAACCTTCTATGAAACACAGCTCAGCACATTCTATTTATGTAAGATTCCCACACCTTCAGTGGTAGAAATGCTTCAGTCCATTACTGCTAAACCTCACTGGTACATGAGTGCTCCAGTGCTCTGCCAGGTCTCCTGTTTCCTCTTGCTCTTAAAAGTTATTTCAATAAGTGAGTCAGTTAAGCAGAGAAGCCGGCTAGTAAGGCAGAGACACAGAGCCTCATTTCAGTGCTGAATTCTCCACAGGACACATCTAACCTAATGAGATTTTGAATGACCTACTGTCTTAAAACTAACCAGCAAACCTATATTTTCATTTACCTCTGAGATATACTTTGAATGACCTTGAATTAAGTACGCAGATATAAATATTACAAATGCTTTTCCTAATCCTGAGAAAACTGCTGACTTTGATTTTAATTAAACAAGCCAGTTCTGCACAGGGCCATATTCAAACAGACTCAGGGTTTCAATGGGCCTGTGTTTTCCTCACATTTTTCAAGCAGCAATGCCCGGGTGGACTTTATAGTCTTGTTTTCCCATCTACATGACATTACTTTGCTCATTGTCGGCACTGGGCTTCAAACCTGCTTGCAAAAGCATTGTTACAACTACCCACGCCCCCTCGCTCCTCTAGGAGAAGTAATTCTGCTCCCTCAAAAGCAAGAGCTGGTCTCTCACTTAACACACCAATCTGGACAACTGCTTCTGAAACTGAATCCAGAGGCATTCATCATTCCAGTCATTTCACATTTGTGCTGACACCTGAAGAGGTTAAAATATATATCTCTGCCTGGTAGATGGAGAGGCCTGACTAAGCTTCATTCAAATCAAAAAGCAGTTTGTCAATTAAGTTGAGGAAAAGTAGGTTATGATTAATGGAGACAACCAGAATGCACTCCATGTATAAATTAACCTGCAGCTTAATGCAGCATGAGGTATTACTACAGAATGTAAAAAATCCTACTGAACTAATTTGGATCATTTTAAATGGTCCATAGGTCCCTGCTTTAAATTATCCTGTTCAAACCACATGAAAAATCAAACAGTCTGAGTTTAATAACCTGTAGTCAAAGTGCAGTAACTGGGAGGCAAAAGATCTGTCAGAAGCATGTACCTAGTCCCATTAGGCACAAATTTAGCACTGTGAATATTTCATGCAGGTATGAGAGGGAAGCTGGGAGGGAGGAAGGAAGAGAACGAGGGAAAACTTACTGTAGTGCTTCAAAGATGCACTAGGCACACAATGCAGTAGTACAGAGTACTCTTAAAAAAAGAAGCAATCAAAAGCAGTACTCACCCAAAATATTAAATTGAAAAGGAACATCATGTATTTCAAACAACACAGGCAGCCTCTTGCCATGTTGCACTTCTTAAATTCTAAAAGGAAAACAAAGGATAGATCCAGGTAAAAGACCACGTATTTGCTGCCTTTGGGTGCATTGTACTTGTCACTTTTTGCACCAGTCCCAGTCCCAGTTCCGGCCCCGGCGTGGCTCTGTGTGCGTGATCCAGCAGTACCATAGAAAGCTCCAGCAGTGAAACCGCTACCAAACTGCCTCCCTGAGGTAGAAGGTTTAGCAAAGTCTGAGTCCTTGCTATCCAAAGATGGACTCCGGTGAATTGAAGAATCCTCGCTACTTGACTTCTCCATGATCTCTCTTTTCACAGTTGTCAGATTTAATGTCTAGCATCTCTCGACATTAAATGCAGTGCTTCATGAACTCCACAGTAGTAGCAGGCTGATGTTTGTTTTTTTATCTTGGTAAACAAATCAGATAACCACCGTGGAATTTATTGTAATATTCCTTGCATTGCTTCTGCTTTTTTATTATTATTAATACCAAAGTAAGCTATGCTATAGGTCTCTGTAGCTTGAATTTATACATTAGCATCCCGTGCAGGAAGGTTCTCATGACGTCTTGGCAAATCTGTCAGGCATAACTTAGCTTTTATTTAAAAGATCCATAAACTCTGCCTCTCCACCCTCAGTCCACAGTCCCCTGACCTATAGGCAGCAGATGGTCCTTGTATCCATTTCCAAAAAGCTTCTACAGTGCACCTGGGAGACTTCCTCAGCCCAAGCACTTTGCTTGCTCTCTCAGCTTCCCTCTCTGCCTCTCTCTGACTGCTTCTCACATACTGCTCTGTCTTTTCTTTTTTTTTTTTTACCCGTTTGCAGTATCTCATTCAGTAATCAGCTATTGGAGCTCACTGTCTGTGTTGCACTGCTGTTGATGTGAAATCATCAGCAACTGCAACCACTGGGCATTTCCCACAGAAATCCCTGACCTAACTATCAAGTAATAAATCCACCCTCTTAATAGCTCCTCCCCTCTTCTTTGCATGTAGCCAATTAGGAAAAGTTTTTTCCAAAGGCACACCTCCATGACACAATATCTTGAATAGGATTAGAACTACTCCTGTACAAGTGCACAAGGCAAAATGTCTTTAAATGTAAAGTACTGTTTAGCTGGTTATGAGCTACAACCATGAGGTAATGATATCCCTTTAATGTAATAAAAGACTCTAAAAGTATGAATTAGATATATGAAAGCTAAAAAAACCCCGGTGAAATTAACTGTAACGATATACTTTTACATTTTTTGCAGCTTAAACAAATGCCATGGGACAAGCAACTGGAACCAGCTACAGCTTGGGCACATTTCTGTTATATGTGCACATGGTATGACACCATCAATGGTGATATAATTAACCATAACAAGAAACGCAGAGCTGCTGTCTTCTACAGGGTAATCAATCAATTCTAAATCTCCCGAATGTTAGAGTATCCGAGCCTGCAGCTATGTGCACACTATTTAACTGGTATGTTAGAGATTACTTTTGCATACAGTATTCTCCCTGGCATCCTACATTATTGGTAACCAGAAACACTGACCTGAATGCTGCATCCCCTTTCTACACAACGACACTTTCCAGGGAGAGGTGTAATGCCTCATCTATGACTGGTACTGTAGCAAGGGCAGTACCAGCGGTGCACCGGCACTGGAAGCCCTCATATGGGGCAGGCCAAATCAAATGGAAGTAATGTTTTGTCACAAAAAGTAGACCTGCATATTTAATTTTAAAAAGCCAGAACATAGAGATTTTTACGATATCAAGATATTATATTAAGGTCACCTACAAACACGCCATTTGTGCTGGGAGAAAAATCCATTCTCCTGTCACAAAAAGTAGCGTATACAGATGTTCAAGGGTTTTTTAGCAGAAGAAAAATAGTTCTTCTGCAATAAATTAGATCAGTCACTTGCAAGGAAGATCTTCTTCCCAATCTAATTTGAATGTCTGTATGCTCCTCCAGGGAGAGAGCAACAGCCAGTATCACACCGTCCTTTGCTCTCCTTCTCCAAGCACTAGCTCCCTGACAGCCTGCCCCCTTATTCACCAAGAGGGGGAGCATTAACTGAAGCCAGGAACTGATCCCGAGCCCTGGGAGGGTTCCCACCATGTGAAAACAGCTCCTGCCTGATGCTCTTCTCCAGTTTCTGGAGGAGTGCAATAGGAGCCTAGTGCAGGGTTGGAGCCCTCTGTAGCCCTGGAAGGGTTCCAGTCCCAGGAAAACTCCTCTCCCTCCACCCATCCCACAGATCAGCTGCTCTGCAGACTGGCCACAGGGACCATGCTTCTGCAGCAGAGACCCTTCCCCAGATCCCTGGGAGGGTTCCTCTTCTGGGAGAGAGGCCCTTGCCTGCTACACTCCTCCCATTCCACTGGGGAAGTGGGAGGCAAGGAACAATTCTCCTATGGTTGCAAGGCCTTGCAGCTGCAGAACAGCTGTCTCCCACTTCCTGTCCACCACCTCCAGCACATCTCCCAGTGAAACTGGAGACATCTAGGGGACTAAAGACAGTTATGTCCCAGCTGCAAGGCTACTGCTGTGGGAGATTCCTGAGGATCAGAAATTGGTCTGGGGAGGCTGTCACAAGCCCAGTTGCTGGGCTCTGGTCCAGGAGCGAGGTCCAAGGAAGCTCTCCCTGTCCTATTCAGGGCCCTGCAGGCTTCAAATGCTGGTGTGCCACCCTCCTGGGTGGCCCATGCAATGATTTAAAAGCTGGGGAGTTGGGACACAGGGGTGAAGAAGCTGGCCTCTGCCCCACTTCCCCTTCCCTCAAGCTTTAAATCACCCCGTATGCAGCCCATCTGGACTGCACACAAGGGCTAGGGACAGAAGTTACACATAAACTGGTTTAAGTGATCAGAAACGTGTTTAAAGTGGTAACAGAATATGGCTAGAGACAGACATTCAAAAAGCCAGAGCCTGAGTTGATTCAATCTTTGCAGGTTAGTCTAACCTGACTGGATTGAACCAATTTGCAAGTGAACAGATATTCATGAAATGCAGGTACATGCTTGCAGGGGCTCAGGACAGGCACCAGGTGGCGCTACAGCAGCCCATGGCTGCAGGGAAGCTGTGCTGAGCAGGGCATGGCCAGCCCTGGCAGTAGCTTGGAGTGAACTGGCCAGGGAGGGAGTTTAATTCCCCCCTCCCTGTCCCACTGCCATGGACCTGGGCCTGGGCAGCAGCAGGGTCGGGATGCGGCCAAATGCCAGCCAGCTTGGCCCTTGAGGCAGGGAGGGCAGGGCAGTGCATGGCATGGGCCATGAGGCAGGAAGGGCTAACGCCACTGCCCCGGGAAACTGCCCCACTGTTCCCTTTGTGGGGCCGAGCAGTGGGATAAGCTCCCTCCTGCCCCCTCCACCAGATACCAGAAGGAGGGGGAATAACCCCTCCCTGCTTCCCCCTGGAGTGGTGAGGGGGCAGGACCTTGATGGGGCAGCAGCCCCTGTCCTGGTGTCTGGGGAGCACAAACTTCTTTCCGGTGAGGGTGCCATCAGCAGGCGTCAGAACTGCTGTGCACTGCACGGGGCGGGCAGTGGCACCAAGGCTCAGAGGGGGCCATAGCTCCCCAAGCCTGCCCCCAACACCGCTGCTCACTCTGCGCAGTCCGCGGCAGCTCTGACTGGCCTGCAATGTAGCTCCCCTGCCATGAAAAGGCTCACACTTCGGGACACCGTGACATGGGCTGCAGCCTGTAAGGGTCGCTCCCTCCTCGCTGCTCCAGCAACAGGGGTGGGGCCAGAGGCCGACCAGCAGGCCCCTTTAGGCGGCGGGGCGAGGAGGAGGGTTATTCCCCCCTCCCTCCAGAATCTGGAAGAGGGGGCTTATCCCACCACTCGTTCTCTGCAGGGAGTGAGTGGCAGCAACAGTAGTTGGGGTGAGCAGACCCCACTGTGGTCCCATAGGCACAGAGGGGGGAAATAACCCCCCTTCCCGCCTCCCCACCTCAGGGGCTGTGTTGGCCTGGCTTTGGCCCCACCCCTGGAGCAGCAAGGGGGGAGCAACCCTGATGGGGGCTGCAACCCCTGTAACGGTGTCCCAGAGTGTAAGCCCCTTCTCAGCAGTTGGGTTGGGATGCGCTGCAGGCAGGGAAAGCTGCCGCAGGCTGCACAGGAGAGTTTGGGGAGCTATGGCCCCCTCTGAGACCCGGTGCCACCACCTGCCCCATGCAGTCAATGGCAGCTCTGACCCCTGCTCACAGCCCCCCTGCTGGGAAGAGGCTTGTGCTCTCCAGACACCAGGACAGGGGCTGCTGCCCCATCAGGACCCTGCCCCTGTGTCACTTCAGTGGAAGGGGCAGGGTACGAGTAGACACCGGCCGGCAAGGCCCCTTAGGCAGGGAGCAGGGAAGGGTTTATTCCCCGCTCCGTCCGGTGTCTGGCAGAGGGAGCAGGAGGGGGACTTATCCTGCCACTTGGCCCTGTGCAGGGAGCAAGAGGTGGCGGTGATTGGGGCTGCCAGACCCCACTGTGGTCCTCTGGGAGCAGAGGGGGAAATAACCCCCCTGACTGCCCCCCCTGCCTAAAGGGGCCATACCAGCCAGCGTCTGGCCACGTTCCCACCACTGCAGCAGCAAGCTGAGAGTGCCCAGCAGACCCCAGATCAGGGAATTCAACCCCCTCCCTGGCCAATTCAATCCAGGCCTCCACCCAGGGCTGGCCACGTCCCCACCACTGGAGCAGCCAGTGGAGAAATGCAGATTGTGCTGGTGGGACAGGGGAGGAGGGAGAGGGGGAAATAAACCTCTTACCTGCTTTCTTCTGGGGCCAGGGTCTGGCCAGGCTCCAGCTAGGGAGCAGAGTGGTAGGCCAGCCCTGCTCCACTGCAGCAGAGAGCCCAGCCTAGACAGCATGCCAGGATGAGCGTGGACTCTGGTTTAAACTTAAACCAGCAAGGGGTCTGGGACAGAAGTTGCATAAACCAGTTTGAAAGCTCAATCAGTTAAGTCTATTACTACATTCAACTAGGTTTATCTCAAACCAGTTTTGACCATTTTGAAACTGGTTTATGTGCACTGAACTTATGTTCTGTTACAGGCTTAAACCAGTTTCTGATCAGTTAAACTGGTTTATGTCTAATGTCTGTCCCTAGCCTACAAGTTCAGTGCACATAAACCAGTTTCAAAATGGCTGAAACTGGTTTAAGATAAATCTGGTTGAATGTAGTATCAGACTTAACCAATTTAGGCCAAACCAATTTATGAAACTTCTGTCCCAGACCCCTTCCTGGTTCAAGTTAAATCAGAGTCCCCCAGCATCCCAGTATGCTTTGCATCCCTAGGCTGGGCTGTGCTGTCTGCTCCAGAGAGCAAGGCTGTCCCCACCCCTCTTGCACCCTAGCTGGAGCAATGAGGGGTAGCTCACTGCCCCCCTCAGATAAACCCCAGCTGGGGCCTGGAGCCAGGGAAAAGGATTAAACTTCCCTTCCCCCCAAGTACAGAGCTGCCCTGCCCTGTTAAACTTATTGCTGGCTACAACTGTGGTCTACAAATCCAGAGACACCTGAAAGCAGGAACAGGAAGTGATGAGCAACCCTGCAGAATCCTGGTGCTGTAATTGTGGACTTCAAATCCCAGAGACCTCGAGGGCAGCAGGAAGAGTAAGCAGACACACAGCCCATGCTGGCTACCTGCCAGAGAGCAGTGCTTTAGTGCCCCTCAGCTTCTGGCTTGAGCCACTGCAGGCATGTGGCTGTATTTCCTGAATCAGAAGTGAATGTCTGTTCATTTGCTTATTGGTTTAATCTTCGCAGCTAAGACTAACCTGCAACGACTGAATCAATTCAGCCTCAGGCTTCTTGAC